TTTACCGAAACGGTTAAAGGTGTGGAAGATTCTCTCTATGGAAGCCTCTGTTGAGGGTAGGAAAACAGTGTCGTCTGCGTAAGCTAGGACTTTCTGTTCTCCTATGCCTTGGATCGCGGTTCCGCGTATATTCGCGTCTTGCCTGACCGCTTCTAGAAGCGGCTCCAGCATTAACACATAGATGAGGGCTGACAGCGAACAACCTTGTCGCACCGATCTGGTGATGTCACAGGTGTCTGTCAGCGTGTGATTGCTGACACATGCTGTGAATTTGGAATAACAATAAACAAAAAGGAGGATATACCTGCAGTCTACATTGACGGGGAAGAGCTGCAGAGAGTTGAACCATTTTACCTATCAGGATTTCACAGTGAGTAACAAATATCGCTGGACGAAGAAATAAACATCAGGACAGGTAGGGTAGCAAAAGCAGTGAGTAGATTAATAAAAAGAGTTTGGGAGAACATAACTCTTACGATTAAACAAAAACTCTTGTCTACCAAGCTTGTGTTCTCAACACTATGCTATAGACAGGAAATCTGGTCAACTTATTTGCACCAGGAAAGATTTCTAAATAGCTTTCACACTCGATGCCTAAGAAGAATACTTGTCATTAAGTGACAGGACAAAATCACAAACACCGAGGTATTGGAAAGCGCAGGTATTACAACAGTCTTCTCAATGCTCAGTCTACGAAGCCTCAGGTAGCTGGGTAACACCTTGAGATTGAAGGATGGCAAAGTCCCTAAGAACATCCTTTATGGTGAATTAGAGACCGGTAGATGATGTCGAGGCTGACCTCTAATAAGATATTAAGACTTGTGCAAGCTGGACATGAATGATACAGGTATTACGGTGGACTTGTGGGAACAAAATACCATGAACCGTGTTGTGTGGAGGGGGTACATCATGAGGCGAATAAGAATAAACAAAGAAATGATTGCAGAAAGTATAGGAGCAAAGCGTCTGAGAAGAAACGTATTAAATACAAATGTTGGCAACAATGGTCCTGAAATCCCATGCTATAATTGTGGACAATTTTTCTTAACGAGGGTGTTCTTGCTAGCCACACTCGCCCTAGCCACGGGCTGTGAGTCCCATGTCTCCTCATAGCGCAATATAACATTATCGTCTAAAAAGGTGCCAATCAATCATTTCTATATGCGCAACACGTCTTGAGGCCCGGAAAAGAGTCCTTTACTTTTTACTTATTATTTGAAAATCGGCTTCTATGACGTGGGCCTTGTGTACACGTTTCGTAATGCCAGGGCGCCAGGCTCGATTCTATATGCAGGCGATTTGGCAGCAGATTGCCTTGTGTTGATTTTGAAAGTGGTATCGAAAGCCGACCAGAAAGTAGTGGTAAACTACTGAATTAAATTTGGCTAGAAAAACCACCACAGCCAAAAAATGTTGGTGTCTTACAACCTCATTAAGGGATATGCAACTACTTAACTATTTGAAAAAAAAAAAAAAAATCAATTTGACTTTTTTTCTTTCCCATGTTTCCAGCTTGTCCAAAGATAGTTAGTGTTGTTGAGGATGCTGAAAACCTATTAGTGAAGTTAAACGAATCGTTAAAGATACTACTGGAAATATAATCTTAAGACATTAAACATGAAAGATCGTTCAAACGGAAGATTCGAAATAATCTCGACAGTTATCGGGCATTTCAAAGGATACTTCTTCTAGCATTCTTGCTGTGCGTTTCACTACAAACATTGCTTTAATCTTTCTCACAATTCAAATGTAATGTATGGGAATTATAGAAACGGTATTACTGAAACAGAAACCATGTGATGATGTTGAGTATATTTAATTATCTAAGATTACAGTTTACAGCAAGATGAGGTAGGTGGTTGATAGTCGAGGTGTCAGCTTCACTGCAAACAGGATATCTTATATTAGCCTGGTTTCTCTACCAGTGAAAAGCACTTAAAATGCCTTTTCACTATTCCGTTTGAAAAACTATTCGAATAAACAAATAATCCAGGCAACATTCAGCATCTACTCATAAATGCATAAGGCGTCCGCTTGAATTACTAACATCAGCAGACGCAACCAGAATTGCAGATCATTACTGAAAGAAGTCACGGCAAAAACTGGTCACATATATACGATACCCTTCAAAAGTCACTTAACCATCAACCATCTTCTGAATATCAAGACACAAACCACCCTGAGCACTGGTAAACTCCATTCCACGATAAATCCATAGTTCACGGTGTAGCAGCAAGCACCTAGCACATCAGCTTTGGTAACTAAAGCGTTGATTCGTCACAGTGAAGAAAAATGCATTGCCAAATCATGAGCAGACAAAATTACAAGACTATCAGAAACGACTTTCCTATCTGCCGTAGTTATTATCAATCCCCGTCCTTGTTTGAAGCTCTACTCTGGCTCTTGCCAGGAGCCGCAATATAGCCCGGCCTTAAATATGGTTTCTGGGACCTCTCCACGGTGATCCTCATCCACATGGTGGCACATTGTGTCATCGGGTGTTTATCGCTTGTGTGATGTCCTGGTGGGGGTAGAAACTCAGTCAGTCAGTCAGTCTGTCGTAGTGGACCAGAAAACAAGCAATTTAGGTGAAATCGACCAAGATTATCACGGATTACAAGTCATATAAACAGAACTACAATTGTGTCATAATATTTTTTGTATTAAACTATCCCTAATTAATGTTAAACTTGTTTTCACTTCAGATTCATAAGCTACAAAAAGTTATTGGTTCTGAACTATTGTATTTGTTTGCACGCTTGCATGCAAGTCCAATGATAGAGTTATTAAATCCAAGTTTGACATTGATTTTGATATATTAAAATGAGTTCCACACATAGTTTAAAGTTGATACCAGAAAATGTTCGGGGAAATATTGTGGTTTGCGTCATGTTGATATCAAATGCCTTTTGATCTGTAAATAAGGGACCACTTCTAGTATATGAAGCAGGCGGTAAGGCATGACAAATATTAGTTTGCAATCTTAAACTAAAAGTTCCGAAGTATACATTTTACATTCTTTGGTATCCTATGTTCAAATCCCACAAGAATGTTTTCCCCTCGTGAACACATTGCTCTTCTGTATTTTTGACTTTGCTTTATAAACTGGCTACATAAAAAAAATATTAGTAAGTTTCCTGTAAGGTAAGCAGCAGTCCTGATACTGACTGCATCATCAATCGAGAGCGTCTATTGGCCAAGAAAGTATGGCCATCATCATCATAATTATCATCATCATCACCATCATCATCATCATCAATATCATCATCATCAATCAGCAGGTCGTTTACAGAACGTCGCTCTCGTCACAGCACGACTGAACGTTTTTTTAGCCAATTCTCCAGTTATATCTGCTTTCATAGCCAATGCATCTTTAAGGAATTTTCGTATTAGTTTCTTTCAACTATAGCAACGAATCCTTTCTTACAAAATACTATCCATGCATTTGTTTGCCATATTTTCTGCATATCTGGCTGGTTGTCTTCCACCATACACGGACACAGAAACATACACCACACCCATTCACATCATCTCAGGTGCCCCAACACAGGAGAAAACATCTTCAACACACTTACAGCACTCCCCTACATACCCACACCATGTCACGCACCACCATAAACGACACACCCCCTCCAAATCCACACACACACGCACGCACGCACGCACGCACACACACACACACACAACCATCTCTAAAATTGTAGGAATCATTTTTCACAGACAGACAATGATATCAGAAACAAAACTGGCTATGTCATCTTAAAATAGATCGAGTCCTTTAAGTAATTCGAATATCAATTAAAATATTCTATGGATCAGAAATCTGGAGCTTAACAAACGCAGATTCTGTTCAGTTATACTATTTTATTATCGGAATTTTTAATAACGTTGGCTCATAAATACTATCATTTATTGACAACTAAAACGCTGGAAAATAAATAGTAAAGTGACAGAGATCGTAGACACAGCAGTAGTGAAGTTTTTTAGAAGAATGTAAAAATCTGAGATCAGAAAAAAAAGCGGGTAAAGGACCATTTTCGGGTTACGGTTGTACAGTAGGAATATGGTACTAGCCTCGTAGTTTATAGATTAGTCAGTATTCATCATCATCATAATTAGCACATACCCTGCCGACCGGGGTAAGCTTTCATGCTTCTTCACAGATCTTGTCCTCATCGGTTGATACCCCTTCGTTACACCGTCGCAATCCATCCGTCATCATCTCTATCGGTCTGACTATCCCCTACCGTTAGTCTTCCCAGTCGTCAAAATATTCTTACCTTTATGCTACTTGAGCGGCCTAACTACTGTGATCAGAGAAGGAATAAATATCAGTGCATTTGATGTATTTTATTATGATTACAGTCGTTACTGCAACACTCACCAAAACCATGAGAGAATTAAGTATATATATATTCGATATATATATACCGATAATATATATATATATATATATATATATATTTGATATTATATATCGTTACTGCAACTATAGTGCATACCTGCAAAAGAGTTGACATGCAAAATAACTTACTGTATGTCTTTGGGAAAATAACTAAGATAGAGAGACAAAGACACATTTAAAAAATGATGTATCTGGGTGATTTCAACTTCTGGACAACAAATGTGTGAAACGTAAATTCATTTAGCTAAGAGATTCAAAAATGGTATGATCTGTCATAATTACTGATGCTGACTTCTGACCAGCAGACAGAAGAAAGAAGAAGATAAGGAAGAAGAAGAAGAAGAAGCGTAGATAATGGAGAAATACACATGTCAGTGTCTTTAATCATTGACGGGAAAAAAACCGCGTACACTGTTTCGAGACACATGTAGAGAAGGCAGATGTTCCCATTGAATCTGGCATTTCAAGATTTCAACTGTTTGCTTAGATTTGCACGCCTTTAAAAAATGCTAAATAAATATTGTAAGTCATCTAACTCACATACTCAACAATCATACACCCATTCCTGAGTCCATAACAGGATCACAGGCCTTGATCAAACTCCAGGAAAAAATCGTCCGTGTAGAGAGTATGGTATATTAGTAGGCATTACAGCTCTGTTGGTTAGTGTAAGAGTTCTAGCATCCAATACGATTAGATATGTCTGTTTTCTTTCACCGTCAAGTACAGGAACCAGTAACAAACCATCATCTTCATCAACACCTTGAGGGTCAGCAACAAACCATGGCTCCACAGGATAATGGCCGTCCAATTGCCATATTCTGTCACCTTGCCCATCATGACACACGTCTTTTTTAACTACAGCAATATTGCTGAATGTTTTATTGTCTGCCTTAAAGACAAGACCATAAACAAAGCAGTAGTGTTTGGATCTGTACGCTTCATTGATCACCGGCATATCTAAATGAGAGGCGAGTCGTGGTGTGGCGCTTTGATCAAGTGGAATTTCGTGAGCTTCATTTTTAATCAAATCGATAAAAATACGTTTTAGCTGAGCATGCGCTGCAAAGGAATTGCGTTTCACTGGATCTCTGAGGACATGAAGTTGGAGATGACTGACGATCTCGGGCGAAGGGTACGAAGAAACATCCATAATGATGCTATTATTGCCCAAGTCATAGGCGTTAACATGATGCATAGTGAAAATATTGTTCACAGTAATTGTTTGTAACATTTCCACTCTTCAGATCCACGATATAGAGCTTTGAAGGGTCGTTGGGATACCAGTCCAGACAAGAGAAAGGCTCCGCTTTTCTGGCCATGCACATGACATTAACATAGAAAGGGCTAGCCAGAAGAATAGCTTTTGATCTTGTTACAGAAAAGAGTGCATACAAGGGACACGATCCACTGGCCACTGAGCTATAATACTTCGTCGTTTCAGAGATTTAATCCTCATTAGATTAATCATATTGTTTCGCCAAGGCAAGACAGCTAGGCTAGACAGAAAGTTCAAGTGGTTCTTTGTGCCTGGTTCAGGGAGAGGGTGTGAAGACGATAAAAGGCTGAGAATTCCAGTGCTATCTAAAGCCGAAACAGAGGATTTTTGACTTTTCGCGACTTTGGAATAACCTTATGTTTTGTAGAGAGTTTATCTATGGTTACCTTGTAAACGATCCAAAAATCGTTCAATGCCGCGTATTCTGTGACCTTGTTCTTTGAATTTTGAAAAGCAACAATGTTGACGTTCATATTATCAATCCCTCTAAACAAACATTGTAGTTTTTCAATGTATCCGAAAGGAGGAACAACTGAATGAAACAAAAGATACGGAGTTATAGTGTTAGCCTCCATTGATGATTTATAGAACATGGATCTGAGAAATCTTGTAGAAAACAGGGCGCTTTCATTTCCCATGAACTTCCAACTAGCAAGCTTAGCGAAGCCGTCAAATGCATGAACGAACGATCTAGGCCCCTTTTCAAACAATCCAAGTCCGTTGCGTACCTGAAGGTAAAGGATGTATTATGTTAGAAAAAGTAAGCGAAAATACATGAAGCAAACTGTACAGCAGGCATCATGATATTATCTGTAACACGAATATGGTCCTAAATGCAATAATTATTTAAAAAAATATGTAATATATACTATGCCAAGCAGCAAACATTTTGGAGATCCAAAAACGATTTCACGCAAAACTAAGATTGGACTGCTCAGAGCACTAGCTATTAGTACATTTACATATGGCTGTCAAACGTGGACCTTAACAGCTGAACTCAAAATGAAGATACAAGCATTGGAAATGTGATGCTTCAAAAAATCTTTGGCATTTCATACAGAGACCATATTACAAACGAAGAGGTTCGCCATATAATTTTACGACACATTGGCCAATGTGAGCCTCTACAGTGACAAGGTAACAATTGCAATAGTATGGACATGTAATAGAGTCTAACGACCTCTCAAAAACAATACTGCCGGGTTCAGTAGAGGGAAAGAGGAGAAGAGGCAGACCAAGAATGACCTGGTTACAGAACCTGACTGATTGGACAAGCCTCATACATGCAACTTTGAAGTCCATCGCCACTGACCGCCAAAAATGGAGAGATCTTATCAGACAGTCATCAGAAACTGGTGACCCAACTACATGCAGCGTTACGGGATGATGATGATGATGATCATTCTATGCAAAGCTACTGTTATAACAGTGCCATTCAAATGTTTGTAACTCAATGCGTGGAGCTGTTCAAGTCATACACACGAATACCTTGGGTTCAACTAATCCATTGACAGTTCTTTTGCATCAGGCTCTTCAATAGTTTCTTTGACAAAAAAGGATTTTCCGTCAACTAATAAAAACACCCCATCCGATAACTATGCGTTTCTTTTTGTTGTTTTTGTTGTTGAACATTAAAGTTAGATTTTATTTCCTATATTATGGTAACTTAATACGACTAAGTTATCGCAATTAATCTAAATTTGCTTCAAAAAAGTGTCATAAAAGGGTCCATGTGTGTCAAAATGAATATAGGTAGTGGTGACATAGTATCAGTATTATGTAATTGCCTAATGATTATCTTTCTTTTCTAAGTAAATTTCTACAGAGAAAACTTGCGATGAAATGAAAAAGCGCCGCAAAGACATTTCTACTAGTCCCATGAATGTATTCGTTTTCATTAATGGTCATCAGGTTGTTACTCCAAATGTTTCTGATCTACAGCCAGCCGCCTAGCAACGGGAGTGCAAAAGGGGTGGGGTTGGGATTTGGAGGCCATAGTTTGCAATGCCTTTGTCTATAGCTAAATTAACTCTTAATGATGTGGAATAAAACCACTGGGAAAATTTTTTTTTTAAGAACAATGTCAAGAAAGTTCACTTACAAGCGTGCCCTTGAGCCAAATCGGCAATGGTGCTTCGAACGTTACTGGGACATTCGACATCTCTTTCTCATTACTCTGGAAAAACAGACCAAATCCGTCGTCAGGACTACTTAGACTCGTCGTGTGTTGGTGGAATTCTGAAGCTCCAGTCACATTATGATAAAATAGTTGCCTAACTGTTCTGTTGCTGCTGGTTCGAGTCCGTGAAGGAGGATTTCGAGACATCGCTGTCGAAGTGCAGTTACAGAAGTAGAAGATCAGTATTAGGTGTGACCGTGCAAAACAGACGTCCATGATTAAACAGGTCTTGATACCTATCGTATAAGAAGGTCAAACTAGACTTTAATAGCACACCAAGAGAAAACAAGTACAAGTCACATATGAATATACAAGTTTATGATTAACGAACTACCCACTTAAAGTAAAACGTTCCTTTATTATTGATATTTCTCTATATGTTGTGTCGGCGACCTTGGTTTAAGTGTTAAGAACACTTTTTGTAAATCCGCGGTACCTGGTTCGATTTCGGCCTTGTGGGGGGGGGGGGGGGGGGGGGGGGGGCGTTGATTTCGACAATGGTATCGACAGCTGACTGAACGTAAAATTTACCTAGTAAAGCCACAGAAAACTAAACAATTCTTGGACTGTTTCTGCATCGTCTTGTGAAGGATACACAACTAACTTGTCATATAAATGTGTATATATTTATATATGTATGTATAGATATATGTATATATATATATATATATATATATATATATATATATATATATATGTGTAGTGTGTGTGTGTGTGTGTGTGTGTATATATACATTTATACTCACAATCAAACATGAGTAAATATATATATATATATATATATATATATATATATATATATATATATATATATATATATATACTGGATGGTTAGTATATCCTGCTATTTTCTGTAGGCAGTGTGATTTGCTTTTATCTTATTTCATAAAAATATTAAAAACAATTATGAGCATCTGTATATATTAACTAAATGATAAAGAAGCTCGCGCGCACACACACACATACACACACACGTTGTTGAAGTAAGATTAAACTTGCTGCAGTGCAGGACTTTTACATATATATATATATATATATATATATATATATATATATATATATATATATATATATATATATATATATATATATATATATATATATATTATACCTGCTTTTTTAAGGCATTGTCTTCTTCTTCTTTCGTTCGCCTCCATGGCGTGTGTGCGTGGCATCCTGATTGCTGTGGTGCGCCTCCTGGCTGTTTGTCTGCCCCACTTCAGCGCCTTGTTTTGCAAGGATAGACTGTGGTCATACTCGATGAGAGTAGGCTCACCCCTTCGTCTTTCGCCTGTTACCTCGTTTGTTGTCCCATCCAGTTTCCCGCTGGGGGTTGAAACCCCAACCTTCAACTGGATTGCTGGAAAGAACAGAGTCCAAAACGTGAAGGTGAGGTAGGCTTGAGCAAGAGAGGCTAATAGACATTAAGAGTCTTGTATTGCGCATCATTGCTCCATTTGGATTTGCTTTTATCGTATACCTTTAAATATAAAAAACAAAAATTATGTGTATGCGTGTATGTATATAAATATGCACGCACAAACATTCACACACACACATACACACACATATATACACACACAGACTGAAGTAAAATTGAACAATGCAAGAAATTACATGACTACATGGAAGAGGTCCATAGTCAATCACTTAAGTCTCCATCGTGCAGGTTACGGGGCCCTATTGTGGGGGAGAAGAAGTAAAGACCAACTCCTCACCAAAAGCATGTCGTAAGAGTCGACTAATTGGAAGCTTCCTTACGAGTCGGAGTGCATCTACATGAGAGGCAAGGACCTAAAAGTCCGCACACATATAAATCAGATATGTAAAACGTATGTGTATTGAACACTGATGTTCTGGAACAAGACTAGAGTCCAGAAGTGGACGAACAACCAGAACTTTCCGACGGAATATACAGCTGGTGAACGCGACAAAGGAGAAGAAGTCAACAGAGTATAGGCCTGGGTGGCATAATAGCAGTGATATATATTTTCCTATAGAATACTTTGTCAGCAGAACGTGAAGAGAAGCACATGGCTCTTTTATCTTCTGTAAGATCCAGGTCATTATATATTTCAAATCCAGAATCTACAGACAATTGCTCCTTCACACCCATGAGCTACAGACAATAGCTCCTTTACATCCATAAACTACAGATAATTGCTCCTTCACATCCATAACTACAGACAATTACTCCTTCACACCCATGAGCTACAGACAAATGCTCCTTCACACCCATAATCTACAGATAATTGCTCCTTCCCACTCGTAAGTTGCAGACAATATTATTTTATTATCCTCATGTCTTGGTAATTTATATCTAAACATGCATCAGTTACAGTTAATTTTTATATAAGCATCTAACAGTTCTAGATGATTATATCTACAAAAATTCATCAGTCATAGACAATTATATCTTAACCCATATAAATTCCAACAATTATATCAAAACAATGACAAGTTCCAGTCAACTGTACCTTTAAATCTACAAGTCCTTGACAAATCCAAATGTCTGTCAGTCCTGAACAATTATATCCTAATGCTCTTAAATACAAGACAAATTAATACCTAAACAAACATTTGTGTCCAAGTCATTTGTATTTTGACATCCATTAGCCTGTACACAATAACACTGTACACGTAACACAATTTTCATCAGTCCTATTCAGTTGTATCTTAACGCCCATAAATTCCAGATAACTGTATATCAGATGTTTATCAGATTCAGCTGAATGTATCCTATCGTCTGTCAATACCAGATAGGCATATCTTAAGGGTATCATGTCCAGACTGTTGAATCCACACGTCCACCAGTTACAGACAGAGTAATACATAAAGTTATTATAACCTAAGCAGTTCTCATGTAAAGTATTACAGATCAAGAGCAGAAGGAGTACAGAAACATTTGATATATGAAGTTCTGAATCAATAATAAATTCGTTTTCAAGAATTTAATGAGTCAAATGCATATAAACTACCACCGGTTGCAACTCAGCGACAGTAAACAAGACAAACACTGGCCATTTATTATGACCTGTTGGATTCTGGCGAAAATAATACCTCAACAATCGCTCGAATTCGGACCTTTACCTAAGAAACATGTTGCCCACGATCTTGAGCACACACGAGAGGGCCACACAAGGAGAACTTTTAATCAAGACAATTATCTGGTAGCAGGGATAATGTTTCACGTAACAAC